TAGGGAAGCAGGGAAGAAGAGCCCAACTAGCATCAGATATTTCTTTTAAATTCCCTAATTACATTTAAAATCTTACTGAAGTTGTAGTAAAACACGGGAGTTGGGAATGGAGAGACATGTAAAAGGACAGGCCTTCCTCATCTTTTCGGTCTGTTCTACTGTGAAGCCACTGGCCTGTTCTCTCTTAAAACTTAGAGCAGTTCATTTTCAGCACCCGATTATAATTTTCTAAGGAGCTATTGTGCTAGCAAGTGATTCTGGAGTTCATCAGGGTTTGGCTGTGCACTTTCTCCATCAATGAGTCTTGGCAGTCTTGAGCTGGCTGATTTATTCCAATGTTACGCTTGCTGGAGATGTTCCATCAGGCTGCAGATGGGAGAAGACAATTACAGCTAATACTGTAACATACATACAGTCATATGCAGAGGGGTTTCTATTCAAAATGGAATGCCTATCATAATATTTACATTTTGACATCTGAGATAATACAATAGCTTAAAAGTACAAAGAAATCTGATAATGTTCCAAGTAGCATAATGTCAGATTTTGTTCCTAAACATTGCAACACTAATCTTTGTCTGGGCTTTTAGTTTTTCCCCTGTTCAAAGAGAAAAATGCATATATGTTTGTGTGTATGTGGACAAGCATGTGTCTGGAGAAATAGTAAGTTAAATGTGATTATTTGTCAAGAACTTAAAGGTAATTTCAGTAACCATTTAATTTCATCAGCAGAAATTTCTCGCGTAGCTTTGCCATCCAAAAACCTGTCAGTAAGTGTAGCTGCTGAGGACAAGACATACAGAGCAGGTCCGGTTTCAGATACCATCATCTCGTCAGTGATTGTGGATGAATTGCTAACTTCCTTGGAACAAAATGGAATTTATTAAAAAATTTATGCTGGCTTTCTTTGAGTAAACAATTTATCCTTCCTCCCTGGGCTGAAGGCAGGTTTAGGCCATGAAGGTTAATGCATTTTTCCTGTAGAGCTGGATTGAAGAGTGCGCTTGAATAGTCAAGATTCCCCAGTAGTGTTAGAAAGCAGCAATTAAAGGTGGAAGCTTAGTGATTTCAAACAAACTTTGAGGCATCGATGATGGGCTTCTGTGGAGTGTCCATGAGGCAGAAGCTCCTGGGATACCTGTCTGCATGCAGCTATGCAAACAATGAAATTGGTTCTGAATCGTGCCAGTGCATTAATCTCGCTGTTAGAGGCACAAGGTCTGTAAACGAAAGGGGGAGAAAAATGCTTGCAGGGGGAGAAGAAAACAGTATTAGCAGTGAGCGTGGTTTTGAAAGACGTGAGGCTTTTATTGATCCTTAAGTGACTCATTCGCTAGTAACCAATTTTCCTTAAAGGCTCAGAAAGACATTTTTTATAAAGCCCTCGATTGCAGTAATGTGCACTATTTGGCTCAGACTTAAGAACAAAAAGCACACACAACCATCAAAACCAGATTGCTTCTGTTTTTTGGGGATTTTTATGAATTAAATATAGATTTAAATCTGAAATGTTTTTCTCTCAGATGTACCTGAGTGAGGACTAGCAATGCTTCCTAAGTAAAAAACGGCTGTGAAATATGTTCAAGTACACTTACATACATACCCAAGTTCAAAACAAATTCATATTTATCACCCAGATGTCCTCAGCCTTCTCCTCCCCTCACAGGTAATAATCACTACTGCAATCATAAAACATTTCCAGATGAAGAAAGACAAGCTACTGCTATTTAAGCCTTTGAGACCTTCCTCTTCTGCTGTGTAACTCCCTCTGTGTAAATCAAGTTATTCAGGAGTCTGCAGCAGTAGCAGTGAACCGTGGGCCGCAGTCCTAAACATGAACCTAGACATTTTTCTGATGAGCCAATCTTCCCAGCTGCTCTGAGGAAGAGAACTGAAAACTCACATACGCCGCTCACTCAGCGCTCTTTCAGACAGGCCAACACTGACAGAAACTCCATTCTGCTCCATAGAGCTGTACCACACCAGATTTAGGCACCAGCATTGACTAAGGAAGAAAACTATTTATTTTACTGAATAGCAAAGATTTTCCATTCACCTCCCGTGTTGTTTTTTCCATAGTAAAAAAAAAGTAGAAATAATTGAATTACCAGTATGCTATGTCTGTATCTAATCCATCCACAGTCTGGAAGTTAGATAATTTACCATAACTTGCAGGAAGCAGCATCTCTCCAGCTTGTTTTCTATGTTGAGTTTGCCTCCTGCAAGTTACTCAGTTGTGTATACCCCATACTCCATTGAGTATGCCATACACCATCTGTCACCCTTGTACACAAATGAAGTTGAGAACCATAGCCTTCAGAAATATTCTCCATTATCGTGTAATGAAGAACTATATATTTAATAAAAGCTCAGAAGAAGTAAAATAAAACACTACTTCAGAATGCTATAAGGCTCTCTCCTCTGGAAAAATCTGTCTCCTTTCAAGAGCCTTTCTTATTTCATTAACAGTACCTCTATATTTTGAGTCTTTGAGCCATTGTCAGAAGGGTTTAATTTCATGGAAAAAACATCTCCTAAAATGCAATTTATGCTCATTCGGACAATTGAACTGGCATTAATCAGTTGCTTCCTGCTCCTAAGAATGGTACACAGCAGTCCCAGTGTATCTGAAGAAAATACCAACAAAATTCAAACATGACAAAGTTAAAAATCAATTAAATTACATATCAACGAGTAATCTAAAGAGCATCTCACTTATTTGCCTTGGCATTCTTCTTGAAGAGTGAGGTATAAGCACATATGCTATACTGCCAATCTGCATTTAGCAGAAAACCAATTACAATTCCTTAAAGTCCAATGAAGCTTCTTGGATGCAGTCCTATTTCCATCAAGTAGTCTGATGGTGAATATAATTCTTCTCCTTTATCACTGGAGTCAGCACTCTTCCTCTTCTGCTTCCATCTCCAGATTACCATGCTTTATACATAGTGCTGGGAGGGTTCCTTTGTATATTTTGTGCTTTGTGTAGTTACTGTTTTCCATCCATCTCTGTAGTCTTCACTAGTTCCTGTCTCAGAAATCTTTACTTTAAATTTAAGTAAGGAATAGTAAGACACTTGGCACGTTTTCCAGTAGAAAAATTCACACAGCATTGAGATTAATATTGACAATATAATTCAGACTGGTTTTCCCAAATAAATCTGAAATATATGAACTGACAAGGGAATCTTAGTAGTTTTGCACAAATGCATTATATTTTTGCTACCAAAGTGTCCCACAAGCCTGAAATAAGATCCCATGTGAAACAGAAGAAAGGTAAGCATGGTGTAGGATCTAATTTAATTTTGCCATTTGAAAACTGCTTGGAGGACTGTAGAGAGAACCACTGAGGAGTCTCGGCAACTGTATATATGAACTGACAAGGGAATCTTAGTAGTTTTGCACAAATGCATTATATTTTTGCTACCAAAGTGTCCCACAAGCCTGAAATAAGATCCCATGTGAAACAGAAGAAAGGTAAGCATGGTGTAGGATCTAATTTAATTTTGCCATTAGAAAACTGCTTGGAGGACTGTCTGTGTAGAGAGAACCACTGAGGAGTCTCAGCAACTGTATTTGTATGTGTGGTGGCCTGTATAAAAGTGACTTCATTTGTCATAAGAATCTAAGATGATATGACAGCCTTCCTGGCACTGGAAACTGTATCCCTGGGTCAGGGGATAATGAACGGTGAGATTTTATCCTCTAAGAAGTGTTTTTATATTGTTACCTGATTTCACCTGCATTTGTTGTAACCAGTACAAAGAATGACACTGTCTAAAACATCCATCCTGTAGCATTTACATGCTGTACTGGTACCATTAACAAGTTGAAAATTAGAATTAGAAAAATACTAGAAGCAACTAATCTTATTATAGTCCCCTAAAAGTGAGGCACCATTAAATGATTGCTTGAAATGTCCAGTGCCCTCTAGTCTGGTGTACAATGTAGGGTAAGTCCTTCTTACTAAGAGACACTTAGAAAAAGAAAACTAGAGTTAACTCAGTCATTTGATTGATTCTAAAAGGTTGTTAAAACTGCCCTTGCCTCCTTTTAATGTCTAGTTGTCCGATACTGGGACTTACACTTGTGTTGCGACGAGTTCCAGTGGGGAGACTTCTTGGAGTGCTGTGCTGGAGGTGACAGGTAAGCGATGTCCAGGGGCTTTTTTCAGTTGGCACAAAATGAAGAGTAAGGTCTGTTAGAGCAGTCTGAAGCCAGTGATCTTTTCTAGAAATTCTGGGGTTGAGATGGAGAAGTTTTGGGTGGGAAGGCTGGTTCCTTCACTAATTTCATTGCCTTTAAATGCCCATTAACACTGCAACAATTCGTATTTGTATCCAGTGAACAATGATATGCTATAACTCTTCTCAACAGGAGTGTTAATAAACTGAGGATTCCTCCAGTAATTGGCTCAGGCAAGAAAACTGTTACGTCTGTACAAAGGCCTGCCAAAGTCCAGCTCTCTGAGTTGATCTGCATATGGGAACTTTCTCAGGCTTTTAGTAACTGAGGTTTTGGAGTTCTTTGTACACTTCAGCTAAGCTGGGCTTTTGTTGTCCTTTTTTATAAAGTATATTTGTATCATCTTTTTTGTTTTGCAGTATGTCCCTAAAGAATGATAGCTCTTCATCCAAAGATATACACAGTATGCAACTTAGTGGGGACTTAGTTCTGTGCAGACTAAGAGCATTGGTTATGCTGATTTTCCAGATGTTTGGCATGTTTTTCCTTTTAATCTTCTTCTTCTTCGACCAGATTTATACAATCAAGGATAAAAAGTAACTGGTTTGTATTTGCCCCTCGCAGAATCCGGTGGAGCAACAGTCAGTAAAAATTATGATATAAATGACCTCCCTGGGCCACCATCCAAACCTCAGGTCACTGATGTCACAAAGAACAGTGTCACCCTGTCCTGGCAGCCAGGGACTCCTGGAAGCCTACCAGCTAGTGCATATATCATTGAGGCTTTCAGGTATGTGAATTACTCTGCTTTTTCTCTCTTTCCTTTCTAATCTTGTTTAAACCCTGGTACCAGTTGTTCTCTTGCTATTATGGTGTTCTTTTGGACTCTACACAGAGCATTAAAAGCTTATTAAAAGACCCAACTCCTATGGCAGGCACTGATTCTTATTTTTTAATGTGGGGTTTTGGGTTTTTTTTAATTTATTATTTTTTCTAAGTGATTAATGAGAGAAGCATCTAACTATTTCTTCAAGTCAGTGAAAATATCAACAGGACAACACAGTCATTATTTGTTACTTTTCCCTTAGTAGTGATGATGATCAGTGAGTTTCCTGTGGGAATGCTGCAGGTCAAATAATTTGGGCCAGTGTTATCTTGACTACCATAGTACAAATAACCTGAAAATACATGGATGATCCTGAAGCCTCTCTGCATCCTTTAATTCCTGTTCTTGTTAAAGCACCACCTATTAAAGAGTGAAAGCATTTTCTGTTTCTATTTTTTACTGGTTTAGATACATTTAGCTTTTTCAGCTAAAAGTTTTGTGTTGATAATTTAGGATTTCATCCGTCAGCATGAGCCTAACTCCAGCTGCTCCCTTCCACACAGCAGCAATTGCTACGTGCTATGAAAGAACTCCTGGGCTCCGACTCAGCAAGTTTGTTTAGGCATAGCCCATACCTCTCACGTGTATCAATAGTATATGCTTCAGCTTAAAAATGTGCACATTCCTAAATGTTTCCATTAATCAAGATGTTCAACAAATGACAAATGATTTAATTCATCTTTTAATTAAAATGAATGCAGGAATTTGTCAAAATCATATGCACGCAAATGTAAGAAGCTGGAGTGATAATACTTCATCCTGCTATGTTAATACACAAAGAACACTACTGCATGTGCAGACTGTTGATTTTGGTCGGGAACTTACCCATTGTATATTGCATGAAGGAAACAATTGAAACAATATGAAACTTGTAGCTTTTAATTTTCTTCTTCCTTTTAATGTATCTGAAGATAATTTTGTTTTATCGATGCTATACAACAAAGCACAGCAAGATAAAACTTTCTCTTTAAACTTCTGTGGTATTTCACCCTAGATTTGCTCTAATGGCATCCCGTCAAGAACTTTAACAAAAGCCAGGCATTTGCATGAAAAGCTATTTTTAACAATCACAAATTAAAGTTTCTTCATGCAGTGGATTGTAGTCTAATAATAATGTCCAATGGAAAATGTAGTGACAGGAAAAAAAAATCATATGCTTTCCTCCATTTACAAGCAGATTTCCAGCAGGTTTTTTGTAACTTTGAGTATGAATTTAGTTCAAGGAGTCTACTTTTCTTCCAATGACAATTTATTGACATAATTTACTTAGCAGTATAGAAAATTATTCTTTTAACGGGATTTTCTTTTTTAAGGTTTATGTTCAAGAGTGGCCTATTTAGAAATCAAATTTACTTTACAGCTTTCCAAACTTCCCTTTGCAGGTGTTTATGTTAGAGAAATAGCAAAAGCTTTTGCTTCTATTGAAAGGAGAAACACTTTCGACAGCTATGTGGGTTTTTTTAAATCCCATCTTGATGAGTTAACCAAAACAAATACTTTGATTTTTACCCTGCTTTTACAACTTTTTCCTGTACTTAGACTTGACGTGGGGTTACAGAAGTAGGTGTTTTCACTTTATTTTTCTCTTGCATTAGTCAGTAATCTTTAACCCTCTTGTCATTGCAGTCAATCTGTGAGCAATAGTTGGCAAACAGTGGCTAACCATGTGAAGACCACTCTCTACACTGTGAGGGGACTGCGCCCCAATACAATCTACCTATTTATGGTGAGAGCTATCAATTCACAAGGCCTGAGTGATCCCAGCCCTATGTCAGATCCTGTCCGAACACAAGGTAATAGTAATTATTAAGGTTTACGTGCTTGAGCTAAAATAGAGAGAATGAACTGAGAGTTGACCTATAAGTCAGTCTGGCCATTTGGCTTTAGCGTCCTGACTGAAGGAATCATGAATTAACCAATAAAGATAAAAAAATAGGTCAATGTTTGCTGTATCAATATGGAGCTTAGGAGCAATAGCTTAGCTCTTTAGTCCTTTGTAAACTGCAGACATTTTGGTTTGCAGTTCATTTAGGCCTGGTGAGCTCCTTGATGCCTGGTTTCTGTTGAAAGTAACGTGAGTTATCCAAGCTTTTCTGAAAAGTGCTCAGAATGCCATGCTCTCCTCAGAATGTTTCATCTTTTTGTCCTTACTTCTTCTCCATTATTCTAATAGGGATATTCTATAATAACAAGTGCTTATGATAGACAGACACCGTGATTTGCATTAGTTTTAATCAGAAGACCTGCAAAAAATATCTGCAGTGTGTTGATTAATCTGGTCCAAAATCTAGGCAGACAATTAATGTCAATTAAGGCATCTGCATGCTAAGAATATTTTGAAGTTATTCTGAGAAAAGTATGGGTCTTCTACTTACTTACCTGGATTTCTGAATTCTTGATGTTAATCCATTGCATAAAGAACGAGGGAAGGCTGAGGTGAAGTGATATAATTGATAGGTGTGATCTCCACTGCTATTGAATTAACTTTTGAATTCTGTTCACCATTACATCAAGCTCTAATCTGTGTCTTACTGGCACTAACAAATTTCTCTTCACAGCATGGATTTTTTGGCTTGAATACTTCGTACAAGTGTAGTTCTGTGTTAAACAGGTCGGAATACAGGAATTAATGATTTTTTTTTAATCCTATTTTTTTATTCTTTTAATAGCCCCTCTCACAGTTAATTTAGAATGACATCTTCTGTCTCTCTTTATGGACGTTAGAAAAGCGTGCCTGAAGAGTGCGTCCTGTGTCAGCTTCCAGCATGCGTTACTGGTTTGGGTCCTTTGTTGTTCCTAGGTGGATAGAGAGAAACAAGAGTAGGGTGGTATTTCTTTATCACATAAGCATCACATCCAGCCCCTCATACCAGTCTGTTCCTGAATAAATCTGACCTTGATAATTACCCCCTCCAAACAGTTATCATTGCTGTAAAAGGAGAAACAGAGCTGCTTTCTGAAAAGCTGAAGGAGTGAGTTGGGCAGGGATTTCATGGCTTCACTAACCATGGAGTATCACAAGTTTTCTTCACTTTCCTCCTCACCCATTATTATAGGGTGACTCATGCTTTTTATTGCACCAGCCTTTTAGTCTGCGTAACTTATCACCTAGTTAAAAAAAACAACTTTGTTTGGCATTTGAGTGTCAAGTATAGACTTTTTATCTGACATACTGACAAGCAATTTGATTTCAGTAAAAACATGTCTTTTAATTAGCTACAGCATGTGTTGCAGCTTCCATTTCCAGAAGCTGCTTAGTAGTCAAGCACACTGAGACATGTACAGGATTTATAGCTTCTTTGCAAGCCTGCAGTTTAATAGAATTAAATCATAAAATCAATTGAAAATTAACATAATGTTTTGATGTGATTTCTAATTATGCCTGAATTCAATTCAGGCTCACGGAAGAAGCTGACACACGGTAAAATGTCTATTCACAGTGGCCATGGAGGAACAAAAAAGCAGCTATAGCAGTGCTATATAATATTAGTTTGCAACAGGTGTGTGTAGTAGCTTTAATAGCTGAGCATGTAATTTCCTGGTATTAAGTATAGAAAAGACAAATAATAGGATTTTATGCCTGTTTTCACCACTGGACCTCAAATGGACAGTTGGGCACTTTCAAAAGGCCTGCCTTATATGACTTAGATCAAATAAGGGCAGAGAAATGGGTAATTACTCTAAGAAAGGAGCTGATTTCTTGTTTGGATTATTAACAGATCAAACCATATGTTAAAAAACGCTTTAAAGAAACTATATATAATCCTATCTCTGGAATTTAAATTGCTAGCAACTGATAGTAACTTCACTGGAAGCTGTTAAAAGACAGGTTAGAGGAAATACATAGCAAATTTAATTTTAGAGATCTCTGAACTGTAATCAGAATATAGCTTCTTGTGCCAGTTTTGCTTGAGTCATGATTTTATTATTCCAGTACTTGATGATATTCTTATAGATAGATCTACTGCTTTTCTATCAGCAGTCTCCTAGTGATGTGAAAATGACATTACAAGATATTACACTGTGAGCATCCTATATGCATAAGTTTCCAAGTGTACATACTGGAAAACAGGATACTTACTTCTTACTGATATTAGCCCATGTTATTGTGTTACTTCTGGGCATACATCCCACTAAAATGATGAAATGTACTTGATACATATGTTGAAATGTCTTCTGAGGGAATACAGGTACTTTGCTGGTTGTATACCACAGGATAACTTAACCTGAAATGTAGCCATGGCTAGCTGTAGGTCTTTTGTACCAGGGATCATTGCTTTTTGTGGACAGCAGCGTAAATTATCATCCTGTAAACCACTCTTGAGTTGCTGTCTTACAGATTTGTTTTATCATAGCTCTCTGTTTATTGGTTTCTTTGGATAGGGATAATTTGCTAGACAAACCCCTTCACTGACATCCGTATTTGGATTATATTCCCTTTGGAGATCCATGGAGCCATTTTCATTTGAATATTAGTAGAAACCTGTTGCAATATTGTTTATTGGTGGCTCAGAACCCATAACAATCCAGACTTATGAAGCTGAAATATTGATGATTAAAACCTACTGTCTTTCAAAATCTGGAGGCATGTGATTCAAACTCAGTTATATTTAAATGTTTCATTTGTAAGGGCACTATCATTTCTTCTTCATAATATTTAGAAGATAAAAAGATATCACATGCTACATACTCCCATATCTAAGACCATCAGAGGGGGATGAAAACCTTGTATGTATATATTCTTTTTACAAGGACATGATGTTGATCCAAAAAAAGGGAAAGTGTCTTTGGCTGGTGGATCCCAGGAGAAAACCAAGCAGAATTCACAGATG